GAGATATGCAATTTTTTCTAACTCTAGTCATTTACTGGACACCCTATATATATACATAAAGAGAGAAAGGAAAAAAAAATTATTGGATAACACTCACACTAATCAATATATAGAGAGAATATCAAATATAAAAAGAAGTTATTTATTGAGGCAAGTGTTATTTTACATATTCTTAAAACAACATTAAAATTAATTGAGAAATCTGAATTTAATGTTAATGCATTATCAGCATTATTTGATGGTGTTCTTAATCCAGTTGCTGCACCAAATGAGTAAAATAAAACTTGTTTAATAAATTTTCTTTGTTTTGGATTTGATTATGTTCTAGTTTGGATTTGGATGCTTGGATAAATGATCCTCCATCAGATAGCGAAGATGAATCAATAACAACAAGTTCATATTATGATAATAAAGATTAATTTTATGATAATAAAGGAGAAAATCATAATCCCAATTCATATTCTGATGATACATTAGGTTATCAAAGATCAAAAAAAATATATTGAACCAATTGCTGAAGAATTAGAAAAACAACGAGAATCAAGAAAACAAAGTGAACAAATGAATCCATTCTATTTAAAAGATTCAAACAATCCAAAATTGATACAAATAAGTTTTTAGTTTATTACTATAGACATATGACAAATTTGCGGTAGTTTTTAAATCAATGCCTTAGTCCCGATTTTCGAATTGTGACTTGAAACTCGATGTAAAGACAGGGCTTAACGTTAGTGATTTATTATGAACGTTTCAAATCTTTTGATAAGATAGGAGCAATGACAAGATCTGAAACATGCACAAGAAATTAGTCTCGTTAAGGTCTGTCTCTATTGAAAGTTCCAAGTCAAAATTCGAAAATTAGTTTTTATGATACTCCTGTGGGGCATCATGGATAGAATCCATCGAGTTTAAAGTTTTCGAATCCGAAACCAATCCGACGAGCTCTAACTACAACATTCATTTAAAAACTACCGTAAAAGTGCAGTATCTCGACATCCATAAGCTATGGACTTAAACTGTCTTCAGGATATTCTTAGCTCATTTGATTCTACAGAATGCAAATAGTCTAGTTCAATTCTTGAATTTATCTTTAATATGATAGACTGAAACAACTTCAAATACTATAAATGGTAATGATCGTATTGAATCAATATTATTACAGGGAATAAATGCTACTAGTTCACAATTAACACTCTCTGATCAATTATATCGTCAAGCAAAAATTGATGAAGAAAATCGATGTTTAAAGAAAAAATCAAAAACTGATGGTGAATTATCAAAAAAAAAAGGAAAGAAATTATCGGAAAAATCCGATAGAACGTTAATTGATGATAATAATGATGATGATATTTATCCAACTGTTAAAGTAATACGTGGTGGTGAATTACCAGAAGATGCTACAGAAAATGGAAATGAAGACAATGATTATGATGTAACTGTTGGAAAAAATAAAAACTATGATACACATCGAGCACTTAATATTGACTTAAATGAAAAACCTATTCAATCGATTCCTGCATCACCACCACCATTGATATCTCAATGAAAAGAATCAGTTCCTAAACAAGCTGAAACACATTCTATATTAACGGAAAAGCTAAAAAAATCTAAGAAAAAGAAAATAATTGCAAAACAAGAACAATCATCAACATCGAAATCTAAACACGAAAGAGAACGTAGTGATTATAAAGAATCATTATCACCAGCTGATGAAGAAGAAAATCATCTAACTTCTATACCTCCTCCTCCTTCTGATACTGCAGAGAAACTAAAGAAAAGAAATCATCATCAAAAACAACCATAACAAAAGTAGATACAAATATTTCTACGCCACTCCTATTGGACATTATGACGGATGATATTCATCCAACAAATTAATCTGAGCAACAATACAATGAACACGATACTTGTAAACTAGCTGCTCAATATGACAATTTGACAATTGTAAGTTGAATAATTATCCTAATTTAACAATAGATGAGGACACTTCGCTAAATGATAAAATGCTTTTGACATGAGTCTTATCTCATTAAGTAGACTCTATTGATGTCTCCGGATAGAAGATAGTCGAAAGTCTGACACTTGCATAATGAATTAATCTTATCAAGAACTTGATTTTGAAGATGATCTGAAGAGAAATTCACTAAAATGACTATCATCCAAGCAAAAATTTTCATTCCAATAGGATTCCAAAGTATATCAGTCCGATTTCAATCCCAAAAAAAGTCAACTTTGTCCATCTGTAACTCACATCCACGTTGGAGATATCACTTTTTTTTGATACTTCTGTAGTTTCGATATTTTTTTCTTCGTATGTATTTAAACAATCTGTTATAAATTTATTTTTAGGAATATTCGATTAATTCGAATCTATTAATAGCACAACTTGATGGAACATTTCTTTTAAAAAATCGAATATCATTTATTATTGATCATATTAATATTCATGTTATTGCTAGTAGGAGTTCGAAATTATTAAATACAACAAGTGCAACTTTAATATCATTTCCATCTATAAATCTTTTTCCTCATTCACAAAATTATATTCATATTTATTTTTCAATAAATGCTATATCATTTTCTCAAAAATTAAAACAACATTAACTTATTCTATAAATGTATGTTAAAGAAAATACTTATTATCTTCATTTTTGATAAATATATTTAGAAATTAAATACAATTGAAACAGATAGAATTGAATTTAAACTTAATTTACCTTGTTCACAATATTTACGACGAAAGACTATCGATTCGTAAGAATAGGGTTTTTTTATTAGGTTATTTAACAGGAATATATATATTTTTTTAAAGTATGGTATTCGCTGATTTGATGAGTTCCAGTACATTGACATGTCAATCACAACTTCGTATTTCATCATCTAATCAAGATTTTCTATCGATAATTAATAAAATTTGTCAATATTATCGATTAACTGGTTGGAAAAAAAATTGAAAATTTTTTGTATCCAAATTTTTAATTTAGTTGCCGAAAAAATTAATTCAGCTGCATCTTTATATGCTGAAACAATACTTGGACAACTAATATCTCTTTTTATTTAAATCAATAGTATGTCTATTTTAAGATTTTTATTAAAAATCAAACTAAATAATTTTTTTTTATTTATTTAGAATTCTCAAAGTGATATTTTAATTGATGATAAATCAACAGAAACACATTATCTTTCTAATCTCATGGAAGAAATAAAAACATCATTAAAATAATTTGCTTTTCTTTATTTCATTTATTTTTATACAAACAGTGATTTTTTTTGCATCTATTATCTTTATTTACGAAAAGAAAGAAAGAATATCTCTTATATATCAAATAATAAGTATATTTGATCTTCTGACACATAGAAAATATGTTCTTTTTTTGTTTTGTTCTGAATGATTATAGTCAATTCTCATGTGTATACATATTTTCTATTTTTTGTTTTTTATTTGCTATAATTCGAACATTATATATGTTTATAAAAAAGAGGAAAATTAATGATAAACTATTTAATCATTCTCGATTGGTTTCAAATGATTAAAAGAAGGCAAGTTTCCTTTTTCATGAAGCTTACTAAATTTTCAAATGAAATGACTATCGATGAGTGGGATCAATCGTTTATTATCCCGATCTTGACTAGAAAAAGTTGTTTAGTTCTAATTTCACGCTTAGTAATACATGTACTAGCGAAATATGCGATATAAATATTCTAGTAGTGTCAATAAACTCAAGACGTCTTGGATGATCCTCATGACTTCTAATATCCTGTCTCTTTGAGGTTCATTACTTTTTTTAACTCACTGATCCTTCGTCAAGTCTGTTCGTTTACGTGTTCGACAACACTGTTCTTTACGAACAAAAGAAGAATTATTTTACTATGAAAATTAGAACGGCAAATATTTTTCACATGAGTCGCAACAGCGTAACATGATCATAAAAGATATCACTTACCTAAACTTTGTATGGAAACAACAAGCGCCTGATATATTGTTTACGGCTGTAAATCCAACGAGAGTAATACCAGCACGCGAATTTGCATATTAGCATTGGTGACAGGTGATAAAAGATAACTGTTCTGATTTTTCTTTGATTTCTAAAATAAAAATATTAACTAACTCACAATTATGCAAATGATAGAAAAGGATATAATCGATATAAGGTATGGATATGGCTCTAGGACAACTGATCATGGGATAACTTATCATGGACAACTGATCATGATCATCTGATCATGGAAAAACTGATCATGATGACAACTGATCATAAGGGACAACTGATCTTGAACAGTTGATCATAAAAAATCGTTCGAGGGTTTGGGTGTGGGTGTTAGAGACCTGCAATAGACTCCGAAAAATGACTCCGACTCCGACTCCGGCGGAGTTAAAAACCAAGATTTTTTCGGAGTCGGAGTCGAACCGGAGTCAAACTTTTTTTTTCGGAGTCGGAGTCGGAGTTGATGTAAAATTTGGTAGACTCCGAAAATTTTTTTTCTTTTCTTAAATAACATTTTTTTTCAAAATACTAACGTCAAGCAATCGAAAACTTGGTGGAAATTATCCCAAACTTCACTTGTATTTTATCGTCTTTCTTACGTACTACTTTGATGGATCCATTTTCTTATTTAATTAGACTTGCAATTTCTTCTCATGACAAGAGCTTCGCAGTTATTCCAAATAAAGGGTGGTCACAAAATTTCGACTCCTATCTCTAGATTGACGTTATTTACATGAAATACATATTTGAAAAGAGGTTGAAAATTTAATCAGCTTTAGTTTTTTTATCTAATATTTTGCATATCTATTTATTCGTGCACAGTAATCGCCAATCAGACTTGATTTGTGATGGTAAACTAACTTTAAATTACATAATATCTCCATACATGTGAGCTGCTGCTGATTTACAATAGGAAAAATTTTCGGAGTTTTTCGGAGTCGGAGTAGGAGTTATTCATAAAAAACTTTCGGAGTCGGAGTCGGAGTCATTTACAAAAAAACACTCCGGAGTCGGAGTTGGAGTTACATAGGAAAAAAATTTCGGAGTCGGAGTCAAAAACGTTTGACTCCGCAGGTCTCTAGTGGGTGTAGACGTCAGTTGAGAAAAGATAGACACTCACACCCACACCCACACCCCACACCCGCATCCACATCCCACACCCCACATCCACACCTACACTCACACCCCACACCCACACCACACACCCACACCCCACATCCGACACCCCACACCCACACCCACACCTACACTCACATCCCACACCCACACCCACCCACACCCTCAATTTTCCTTTATGATCAGTTATTCATGATCAGTCGTCCGCCGTGATCAGTTGTCTGTCATGATCAATTATCCATGATCAATTCTCCATGATCAGTTGTCCCATGATCAATTTCCTGTGATCAGTTGTCCATTCACTTATGGATATATATATATCTACACATATATATATATGTTCGTGTGTATTCTCTTGATCTATCCTTCTCTACCTTTACGTGGTTAGTGTTTTCCCAATAAAACCGAATTCATGTTCACTCAAACTTAAACTTAAAATCAGGGTTGCCAGATTTTCTGAAAAGTCAGGAAAATTTCTAAAATTTGAACATGTTTCCGATTTTTTTCTGATTTGTTGCCAATTCCAAATGTTTTTAGATGGTAGCTTTACCAGCGAAATCAATTGCAAGTATAACTCATTAATATTATGAATCCATATACTGCTATCTTCTTTCCTTTCTTAATTTTTTGTAGTTTCCGAGTTCTGCAGCCGCTAACGAGTGCTTTAATATATCAGTAAATTTTTGCGTAGCTGAGCTTAAGAATGATATGCTAATTATTTTTTGGAACGATTTTGTCAACATTTTTTAGCTCAAAAACATTTATTTAATGAAGTTTGAACAAAGAAAGATTTGAAAAATAATATGGAATTTATGTTCTATAATCTTTATTATTTTTCGTAAACAGAGTGTGAGGTTCGTAAAAGAATCCGACACTATGTGTCTTTTGCTAATTTTTTTTGTATTAACCAACAATTGAAGGCCATGCAATGGAAAATTAAGGAGATTGTTCATAATCGAATCAAATGAATGCTCTCACTCACAGACCAATTAAAACATGAGCTGTTACTAGCGTACACAGGCCGGGATGTTTAAATTTTAACATATTTACAGTTTGTCATGTGTGCACACTACGAAATTTCATCAATCTTTAGTTCTCTTTTTGCGTCATGGTTGGATGAAACACGACTATTTACATAAGAAAAAAACAATATCACACACATTCAAAAGCAATCTGACAGCAATAAAAATTTTTTGTTTATCACCCTTATAATTAAAAAAATGTTGTCTTAGACAGCGTAGAAATTGGTTTTTAATATGCGTGATATTGTTTTTTTCTTATGTAAATGGTCCTGCTCCATTCAACCAAGACGAAAAAAGAAAACTAGGCGTTGATGAAATTTCATAGTGTGGACACATAACAAACTGTAAACTTCTTGAAATTCAAATATCTCGGTATGTGTATACACTATTGGCAGCTCATCTTTTTAATTAGTTGGTTTGACAGTGAGAACATTCATTTGATCCGACTATGATCAATCTCCTTAATTTACAGCACACGATCTTTTACTCTAAGCTATGTAATAGTTATTTTGTCTTTCTTTATTATGAAATACTTTTGAAAGCAAAGTACGAGTCGATAAAAGAAAAAAAGTGAAGCCTTTTGTGCAAGTATGTCAACAAGATAGTCTTTGGTTTGCAAAAAGTTACTCTTTCTGATTAGTTTCCGATTTCGGAAAAAAAATTCTGATTTTTTTTTCTGATTTTTAAGTCTTTCATCTAGCAACCCTGATGAAAATACTAGAAGCGATTGTTTTCTTCAATCTTCATAGAAAGAACAAGCAAAAAGTGCATGTATGATTCAGATGGAAGAAAACAAATAGAGTTACTGTCTAATCCAAAAATAAATACACAATTCTGAAAAAGTAAAATTTCAATGGGTAAAAACTTATTAATAAAAATTACAATGGACAAATCTCCAAATGAAATGGCCAACTGTCCATTTGCCCCTCCCTTGGCTACGCCGCTGTGACATTGCACACTTATTATCTATAATCCCGATTAGTTGACATATGTTGCCAAACTTATGAGTTCTATTCAACAAAGTTTTAATTTCTTATTCTTGTGCTACGTTTCTCAATATTCGATATTTTTATGTTTCACAAAGTTATCGCAAAACATTCGAATACTGTAATATTTTTTTTTCATAGATCTATAAGAATCTGTAACATTTTAATTAAAGAAAGTCACATTATATACGCTAAGTTATCATTTGATATTCATTAACATCGTCTTCTTATTGCTTATCCAGTAATAACAACAGATTCAATAGTTCTTACTGTTCTTGAATTATTACGTAAAGAATTTTAGTGTGAGCAATCAAATATAATTTTTGATAAAAATTATTTTCTACACCTCATGGACTTAAACATATTTGTGAACTTTGTCGTGATATAATACATGATATTTCAGACATTTATAATATTTAACTTTTTCTAGGTACTGATTAAATAAAAAAAATAGTTGGTTTTCTGTTTCTTTGTTTTGTTATTATTCTTTTTTG